ATTAAGACTGGCCGCCAGAACTGTCAGGAAACATCCCCTTAAAATTTCAGCTTTCTAGCTTCCGTGATCCCCCAAGATTTCAGCCTTCTAGCTTCTCAGATCCCCGAGTTATGAACTTGCTCGAGAAAAATTTTGGCGGGCTCGTTCGCGGGTACCCCGCTTACCCGGGGACTGGGCTTGAGCTCACTAATATCTGGTTGAGCGGGGAACATTATCCCAAGATTTCAGCGTTCTAGCTTCTCAGATCCTCGAGTTATGAACTGACCCCAAAAAAACTTTGGCGGGCCCGTATGCGGGTACCACGCGGGTTTTGGCGCCCATTTTGGGGATTGGGTGCGGTACGTGCATGTAGATTAAGTTCGCGAAATTTCAGCCCCGCAGCTTTTATAGGTCCTGAGATGGAAGTGCGTGACAGACGCACACAGAGACACACGGACACACAGACAACCTCTCGTCAATATGCTTTTTTCGCATTGCATTGCTGCAAAAAACGCATAACAACTGGTTCCTTCAGCATCAGTCCAAATTGTATTCACCGCGCCCAAATGAACTGGCACAAGTAAGCTAATTTCCCAACTTAGCCTTTTCAAAATCAGTGAAAAAAAAATAATGAGTTTTGAACCAACATTGATCTCAACATCACAAAGGCGCAAGTGATCGTCCCTTACTCCGGTACCACCATATGTTTTGTTTGCCACGAGATAACGCTGGATTTTTTTGCGCCGCGATATTTCTTCCTCACTTTCAATAAAATTGTTCTGCAAATTAAACAAATCAACGAACTTATTTACTCTATTCCCTGTGCTTTTGTCAGTCTCCCATTTCACTGATGTCAGTTTCGCTATAAAATAGATCTAGCCAAATTCTGTACAGTGATAGTGCACGGGATGGGCCAGAAATTAGGCATATTAAGTGAAAATAAATTATGAGCGAAACAGATAATTTGGCGAACAAATTTAACTGATCGAGTGAAAACTCTATGTAGTATTGCCAAAGTAATGCAAAAAAATGACCAAATTACTTTTAAGGTGTACACGATAGCGACAGTGAAAAGACGAAAATCTAAAACTAATCATTTCGACCCATTCATTGTATTACCAAAATCCATGATTCTAACTTACGTGATCCTGAGGTTCAAAATAAACAAGTTTGACCAGTGTTCCGCCAATATCTATACCAAACCATGGCATTGCTGAAAATGAAGCTTTTAAAAAACTAGGAAAATCAGGGCATCAGGATAATTTCGAGTTATTCAAATAAGTGAAAAACATGAAAATACTATTTTGTTTGTCTTGACATAGTACGTTCGGCCCGCTAGACATACCAATCCACAGACAATAATTCAAACGCAGTTTTCCCTACTCCTTTTGAAACTATCACTGAAGTGATCGCTGGGCACAAAAAAATCGTCCAACTTATTAAAGAAGGCAGTGTGAAGAAATAATATCAGAAGATAAAATGAAGTTACAGTGGTGGCACTGTAAAAATTTACAAAAAAAAACGATTTTTTAATAAGCACAGTTACGATATGACTTTGAAAAGCAAGGAAACCGAAAACGACGAATAATTCCAGTTAGTGATCTTAGAATTTCACTAACTCAGTATGGAAGAAGGAAAGGATACTTGCTATCGATTATAGGCTTTTTCTAGAGGTAACCAAACAGCAGTACATAACAAAATATGTCACGCATCCGCCCATGTTTGAAATCATGTTGGAACAACCGCATGGATGAAGCAAAAAATAGCATGGAATTGTAAGTTACGAGAAAATTCTACCAAACTTACGAGGAATTGAAAGTGAAAGAAGTCGCTGCTTTTTATTATTATTCTGGATTATTCCATTGCACTGCACCACTGTCGCAGCAGCAGCAGTATCCTTCACGTCTATGTCGTTGATCTCCTGTGCATCCAGTGTAATTGCTCGTTCCTTACCCGCTGACATTCTCGCCGACTTCACTTCCTGAAAAATTGTTCTGCACTTTCAGGAATTTTTTTTTTCACTCAACAGCGGAATATATTTGTCGATATGGAATTGAATCTATGCTCTCTCGCTTGCCCCAACTGCTTGCGAAACCTGTAACCATAAAAATTTGCCACAACGGATGCGAGTGTCGCTCGAAATTCGCAGATTACTTTGAAATCGGCTGAATGGGCCTAAGCTAACCTATCGAACATGGGGCTGACTGGGCACTGCAGCTGAACACCCTATTATTTAAAGCAGCTCAGCGGGCGTTATGGCTGAATCTAGTGATGACGATTGTGAATAGACTTAGTGGCTATTGAAAGCATAGGCGGATCCATGAGCGAAGGGCCTTTGGTCTTTCCTCCTTCTCCCCCTCCCCCTTCCCCACCAGCACAGGTACCAGCGTTGCAAAAGTCCAGGTCTAAAGCTAAAACTAAAGTAAACTAAAGCTCAGAGTAATTCTAAACTGAAGTAACTCTAAGTAGCGGTGTTAAAACTCTACTCCTAGTTCATGCACAATTCCCGGATGGGAGGGGATTCTTCTCTCCACCCCTCGTCGCCCACTCCCTCCCTCCCCTCCCTCCTTCTCTGCCTAGAAATCCGCCTATGATTGAAGGTGGTTGAGTGGGCCTAACAGCTGATACGGTAGGGAGCGACTCAGTAAGCAATGATCTGTGGCTGGATGGTAGGGAATGCACTATGAGTCCTGCGAAGAGTCTAACAACTGACAATGTGTCCAAAATGCCGGCCAACTATTGCAGTAAGCCAGTCGTTGCGAGTGCTAACAACACATCAGCTCCTCACCCTATCCAGAAAGTCACCATTGAAAACACTCACATCTAACTCACTCTTTAAAAAATTTTTTTGCTCCCCGAGCTGATATCACATGTGGGCCTGTGTCTTCTTACTACCTCAGCAGCAGCACATGCAATCGCTATTATCAGCAAATCAAAATAAGTTAATCTTGAGCAAATATGACTGAAAACGGTTTTAGGACCGACTTTGCATGCTTTTTTGCGAGAAGCAAGTTTAGAGTGTCGCCGCCTGGAAGAGACTAGGCGCCTCCAGCAGCCCGCTCCAAACTCCTTGCCAAAACGTGAAAGCTGTTTGAGGCGCATCACGGGCTGTTTGAGGCGCATCCTGCCATATTCTGAAATACAGTAGTTCACACACATTACAAGTTTCGAGTTACAGAAACCAGTCATTCCCCCCTGCCTTTGCCTCCTCCCGCTACCACAAAATCCGATTCCCCCACTCAAAGTGCCACTGCTTCCTGGATCAGGGAAAAGGAATGCGCAAAATGTTCTGATACACCGAAATCACTTATCAAAATCCGCTCCTAACGAGGCCGCACCTCTCTGAAGTGATGAGAGAAGAGTTTACGTCTGATGAACACCGTGGGGCATGTTTCAGCTTTGTGCAAAGAATACGGTAAGTATTGCAGTCGGAAAAAGATTCGGCTCGCCGAAGGGATTATTTCATGCTATCCTAGATTAGGCGCAAGAGAAGAGTTTAAAGATTCAAGCGCTTATTAACTGCCTCGCATGCACTTTCTCAGTTCTAAGTTCAAGAAAATGGCTGGTAGCGAGATCCAAGAACTGCAAATTCCGGTGTTTTACAAACAATACTGCGGGGACAACACTTCCAGGATAGGCAACACTTCAAGCCACTGCGTCCTTCTCACGCATACTGGCAACCTGGGAGGGATATCTGACTTCAGTCGCTTCTTTCACCTCCTGTAATGCGATGGCATACTCAAATTGCTAATTTGGATAGAAGTGAAAACTCGCCAATGAGTAGTCCCCTTCAAAAGGTATCCCTTAGTGAAAAAGAAAAAAAATCCGAAATTCGAAAAAAACCAAAAAGCACCACGGACTAGAGGTTGTGATAAATTCACAATGCGGCTTTTGTCAAAATTAGTGCTGTGGGAAATTGATCCGTCTCAAATCTAATCCCTTGGGATAAAACTGGTCCTCTGACTTGCCCATAAAATGCTATCCCTTGGATAAAGAAAAAATTGAAGATAACTTATCAAGCAAGCTGCACGTTACAGCTTGGTTAATGGACAAAAAAACCACACACCAGTTGAAAATTGTCCATAAAACGCTGTACACAACTTGATTAACGAGATACAATGCAAAACATTAGTAGCTTAATTGTTCACAATCGTGAAGAAAGATCGGTAACAACAAACCGAGAAATGCTGAGATGCACTAAAAACAATCGTAAGGGTAGCCAGTAGCGATCACTTTCCAAAAAACAAAAAAACGACTTTGGGCCGGAAACGCAAACGGCATTCAGACAAAGAACGTTTAATCCAGCAGTTTTTGGTCAATCGGACGGAAGGTGCATGGAAAAGACCAGAACATGAATTAAAATTGCAAAAGTATCCCATGTACAGTGAGCAGGTGATCTGAAACAAGGAAATGCTGATGGAATGGAAGACATTCAGAACAGTGTATAAAAAAAAATTTTTGTCAAATCCAGAAGTAAGCAATTTGAGGCATGAAAATTATTAATCAAAGAGCCTAGTCAATAATGCAGAAACTGGAAAACAAAAACGGTGAAAAACGATAAGCTAAGATTTTTTGAAAAATTCGCCCGACTATTCACTGAAAAGTCACAAATGGCATCCACATTTGCGCCAAGCAGAGGAAGTTCAACACTCCAGCAAAGTTGCATCTTATCTGATTTCAACAAGCATCAGGAATACAGAGAAATAAGATGCAACGCGCAATGCCGAATGAGTATATGTCCATGACGGTAGCCTGTTCGAAGGCCGGTGAGTCACACTTGCTGGCAACCTTCACTGAAAAAAAAAGTTTCGAAATGTGGGAACCAGTGGTGTCAAGCGAGCATTTTGTAGTGGAAAATACATAAACGGGTACAGGAGAGGCGAAATGTCTTTTCCTCCCCGGCCTTCGGCGGCACAGGTACCAGTGCTGCAAAAGCCTGGGTTTGTTCATAAATAAAACTAAAGTAACTCTAAGTAGCAGTATGTTACAACTCTATTCCTAGTCTTTGCATAGTTCCAAGAGTCCGTTCTGGATCCTCCTATGGACAAATGGCGTTGCTGCCGCGCAGATCAACGGCCCAAATGTTTCAGTATCACAACCAGTCCTTTTACGATTCAGTCACTTCTATTGGCGAAAAATAAGTACCAACATATGCCAGAGGGTATCCGCCAGCTTGCTTCTAAGCAATCCAAGAAAGAGAGAGCCCTGCCAGCAATAGTTGCTGTTGGCATTTGCTACCATTCGAGCAACTTCCGAATGCCTCGTACCTCAGAAAGTATGAATTATGGAGAGGTTTTGATTCTTGAAAGGGTGCCTATACGCACATGCATATAAATATATATACTATACACAAACAAATCGCAGAGGTCTGTTTTTGGTTTGTACAGCCGATCTTAGCTTATTAGAAGCCAATTTCTTCCAGTTTATCAAACAGAATCTTCCTACTAATTTCAAAAGCTCATAGGTAAAACAGGAATTTGCTGAATTTTTATTAATTCCAAACTTGTATCATAAGCGCAACAAACTTCCATTATAGAAAAAGGGAGTGAAAGAATGGGGAAAAATCGAGGATTTCCTGATAATACTGAAAAATCAAAAAGACAAGAACTTTTAATTGAGAAAGCACTTGCAAAACAACCCGTGCGGCACTACATCCTAACAGTAATCACTCGCTAGCACGGCTGTCAATGGCTCCTTCTCTGATGGTTACTTCGCAGTGCGATGGTGGCAATTTTAACTCCTAGGCATGCGCCAGTACCGATTTGCGAATGAAAAAAGGATGTTTCGCTGAGGGAGCCTAACTTTCAATGTTCCGCACAACTGCACCTTCAGTTGCCGCTATATCATGCCTGTTAGCTATATCAGCATGTGAAATCCATTTTTGCAAGTAAGTGAAATTCATTTTTGCTATTTCCGATTTCAAGCCCGAATCTCCATTTTTTTGATGCAGTTCGGAAGCTGATTTTAACGCTTTATTAACCTTCCTGAGAATGGGAAAGGAGAGGGCGAGCGGAAAGTAAGCGGACGGCAGAAACTAGACGCAAGCTAGATGGAATGTGGTGTAATCACAACCAACAAAATTCTGAACTGCATTTAACCAGCGCTGAATTTCGGAAATTTTGAAAACAGCCACAAAAAAGAAATCATGCTGCACTTATATAGGATGCGCAGCAAAAATTTTACACAGACAGGCTACCTTTCGATTCTTTTTTATTGGATCAGTTCGCCAGGCTACTGCATTTCCATTCGCATTTTTGTGGGGCAAATTCAAAAGAAATATGTGTATTGGACAAAGGTCAGATTCCGAAAACGACATTTACTAAAAACTTATTTTTCAAAAAAACTATTCAAAGAAAAAAAGAAAGAAAACAACATGCACTTTTTAAAATGCACACCATTTTCGAATCATAGCTATTTCAAAATACTTTTGAGCATTATTCCCCCAGAAATATTTGGAAAAAGTCTGACCGTCTTCAGCTGTTACAAATTCGTCCAATTTTATGCATTTTTGAAGGATGCAAAGCGCACCCAAAGTGCCCGTGAAGTGAGTTCCGGAAGAGTAAGCCAACACCGTCAGAGTTCTCGCAAAAACATAGCTATGACTTGCTTTAGAAAAGATTTTTAACATTATTGTGAAGTAGATGAAGGATGCCAGACGTATAAAGTCTTATTCGGTTATAGGATTAATTGACGGCCAGAACTTTCACTGAAGGGCAACTACTAAAATTTGGCTCGGCTAACGCGGGCAAAATGTGCTCGTTTGTGAAAATCGTAGTCGTACAGAAGTATTGGATTTTCTTTTCCGGAGAGATTTTAGATTGCTTATACGAGGTTACTAGTGATCTCTCAGCGTTTGCTTTTCTGCTTATCACCATAAACCCATATAATTCGAGCCTATAACTCCTGTCTTAGTTTCAGATTCTTGCCTCCAAGCAAGGTCTTTACTTTATCAAGTCACCAGCA